GAAAGAGAGGAACCCACCACCACCAAGGAAGAACAACCAGGAACCAACATATCTTTTGGACCCAGGATCCCTGAGCTGAGAAGCTCTTGGAAGCAGGAGACCGAGAAAGAGCAAGCTGTAATCCTGAAGACGGTAAGAAGTTGTAGCAGGAGAGACCTGGCAGGACAGACCAAGCAGGAGAGACCCACAGGAGACAGCACTGTGGGCTTCCCAGCCCACAGAGCGAGAAAGCTGAGAGCTTTTGGGCAGAGACTGAGGTCCAGGGAGAGGCCTGCCTGGGAGCATGGCTGGGAAGAGGCTGTTTTCTGATGGGAGAAGTGTATCCTGAGTGTTCCTAAGCCTTAATTGTAACTGTTATTTCCCTAAAAAAACCCATAATCCTGAGTATGGTCCGTGAGTTCCATGTGGCCATTGCAATGAATTATCGAACCCAATAGAGAGTGCTGTGGCAGGGACAATTGGTGTCAAAGTTGGTAAAGATGGCGAAGAGAGGAGGCTTGTCTGGCCTCCGCCTCACAGGAGTCAGCCTTGCGCTGTTGATCTTGGTTCTCCTTTTCCCTTGTGGGGTTGGAGGAGGTCAGACACCACCCCCACACTGTTTTTACACCAACATTGCTCCTCCTTGTGGTGCTTCCTAGATTGTAAAAAGATTATCTGAAATGCTTATTTAGGAATCCAATATACCAATGGGTTTATTTGAGGAAATCTGTTACCATTATACATGTCCATATCCTTGAGCTCATTAAAAGTCTGCAAAGATGGTCAGCTGAGACAATGTTCAATGTGTGTGGATTAATGCTATAAAACATTGTACATAGATCTTGAGAAGGGAATTTGATGTATTAAAAAAAAGTCATGGAGTCATGGAGACAAACATAGAAACAATAAAATATCAAAAACATAGCATGTGCTAGCCTCCTCCACTGCAAAAAGATAATGTTAAAGATAGGCATTCCATATTGTTTAAAAAAAAAAAAAGCTGAATCCAAATGTAGTGGTAGATTGGAGATAGGAAACTCGGCAAGATCTTTGTAGAGTGCTTACGGTTAACCACCAGAAACTCCCCCAATTATCCTTTAAGCTGCAAACAACTCTCCTTTATTTTATTATTATTACAGGCATTATTCAATTATATGCCTCTTTCTGAAAGCTGTGGAGAGCATCCAAGCCAGCGCTGGCACAAGCACAACCTTCTTGCTGTAACTTGCTGGAATCCACTGTGGATGACACATGGGCAGAACCATTAGGCCCTAATAGGTGTCTGAATAATACAGATCCTCTGATAATGCTCATGCTTCCTCTTATCCTAGAGTTTTTCCTGTTTGTCCTCCTCACTTCAAATCAGAGTTGCCAGCAAGAAGTCAAGTGGACTGGTTTTAGTTTTCTCTCATCTTTCCTCATCTACTCATTGGAAAAAAGACTAAGAGTGCAAAAAGGGCACAAAACATTTTAATCAGGCATGAATGTATGAGAGTGACAGTAAACATATTCATTTCTATTTTGCTAGTACAGATTAATTGCCAGGATGCTTCAAGAAGTCCTGGTAAGGGTGGATCTTTATGTACTCTTACCAAGGAGCCTGTGTGTGAGTCTGCCTAGTCTTAGCTGTATGCAATAGATACAATTCCCCTCCCTCTTACTTCTCAGTTCAGGCCTTGGAAATAAGCCAGCAAAAAATTTATAATAATGAACACTATTATGTTTGCTTCATAATGCTTTAGAGATTGTGCCAAATACTTTACATGAGCTATCTCATTTAATCTTTACAATAGCTCTTTGAGTATATACTGTTATTATATCCATTTTAAAGATGAAAAAAAACTCAAAAAGGTTTAGAGTAAAAGTTACCTGAAATTTTCCAGAGGTGGAGTCCACCAAGGACAAGGCAAAAGGCACTGTTTCACCAGAAACCAAGGCAAATATAACACCAGTGCCTGTGGATGGGCGGATATTCAAGGTCCCGTTTATCTGCCAAACCTCAGGATTGGCTATGTTATCTGTTTAAAGCAATGAAAACAGAAGCAGATCAACATACTCTTAAAGTACACCAGAAGGAATTATAGCAATCTTATTGACCCTCAAAGCCATCTTTGTGTAATACTAAAGATTTTAGTTCTCCTTTCTCAATGATCTATACAACCTGGGCAAAACAAAAAGTTTCCTAAAATGTAGAAAAGAAACATACAAATGGAGTCCTATGCTTCTGTTGTTCATCCTAGAATAGAATTGTTTGTAAGTTTTCCCTGGTTGCTCTTTAACAGCTCTTCCTCTGGCTTGAGTATTCACCAATGTTCCAACCTCAGAGTGGTCACATTTTAAAGTACATATTTAGAAGGAAGTTGTTTGAAATGTTTATTGTAATATGCTGAGGTAAAATCTGGGTCTAGCTACCACCACTCGTTACATTATATAAATGGATCAGCTTGAACAATGGGAAGAATAACAGTGTGTCTCTCTCTCTCTATATACACACACACACACACACACACACACACACACACACACTCACACACATATGGAAACCCTGTTGGCATAGTGGTTAAGAGCTACAGCTGCTAACAAAAAGTCTGGCAATTTGAATCCACCAGGCACTCCTTGGAAACCCTGCGGGGCAATTCTACTCTGTCTTACAGGGTCACTATGAGTCGGAATCGACTCGACAGCAACGAGTTTATATATATATATGTATCAGGAAGTTGGATAGTTTGATAGTAGAGAACTATTCTGAAGTCAGCAGTTAACTCTGAAATTAGAATCGTATTCCATGATTCTCTTAATACTCAATACTCTTCATCTCAATTACTAGGTTAATTGTCTACCCTATTAGAGTGTAAACTCCGGGAGGTACATGTTTCTCTCATTCTTTTGTTTCCCACAGTAGTCGCTCAATATATATTTGTTGAATTAATGTCTTTCCAAAGTAGTTGGATTCCTAAAAATATTAGTTCACCATCTTAATAAAGTATTCCTCACTTAATATGAAGAAACATAACAATAGCCCAGACACCACTTGGGGCCTTTGAAGGGGTGAATGTGAATGGAGAAAATCATTTTCCTTTGACAAGATTAGCTTTGAAAGGCTACTTTCCTACTTAGCTACATCTAATACTATTTCATTTTTCACTATAATGTTTTAATTTCTATCCAGAAAAAAAAAAAAAACACCATTTTGAAATAAATTTAATATATTAACAAACTCAAACTAAAATGAACATACAAATGTACTGAAGTAATAATCTAACATCAAATATTAATTATAAAGTAGTTTACTTTCAAGTTATTCATAAAATAACTAATTTCTTATGAAAGTATTTTTTTTCAGGTACAATAAACTCTTACATTCTTTTGTTTTTCAGGAATTTTTTTCCTTTGAACAAATCATTATGACTTTAAAATTTGTTTCCCTACATTTACTCAAACTCATTTAAGACTTTTTTTTTTAAAGTCTCCTCTATGTAGAACAGAGCTAAAGTTAAAGGCACTGAATTAATCATGTTAGGAAAACAGAAATTATCAGTGTAGTGCTGTTCCTGTAACTGTAGTTAAATACTTTTTTGGGCTACACATAAACACATCCAAATATAATTTTATCTTAAAAACAGAAGTATCCAAATTAACAGTACCCTTTATTTATAATGCAAAGTGTTAGTAGCTCAAATAGTCAATTCCTAAAACAGAAAATGACAAAGAACCCAATAAAATAATTAAGACGTAAAAATAGCTACTAATAAACTTATGAAAAGATATTCAACATCAATAGAAATTAGGAAAATAATATTTAAAAATACAAGATTTTATTTTTTAACTATCAGATTAGAAACAAATTTCAAGCATAAACTTTCTCACCCTATTGGTACAAATACAAATTGATAAAACATCTTTGGAAGATAATCTGATCAAGCCTGTAATAATTATATATTTGCATCATCTTTGAAAGAGATGATGTAGTTCTAAGATTGTATTCTACAGAATTAATAATATCGGGGCACAAGGATGTATATCAAAGGATAAGGTCAGTCTGGCAAGACTTCTTTCTCTGTTTAGAACACTAGAAAGAGCACTACTCCCAACCTTACAATGACAACAAAAGCCAAATTATCTACATAATCCCAACTTTCCTTGAACTGTGAAAGAGCTGGGGTTGCAGAACAACCAAGTAATAGAAATCTAAAGAAAGACAGGCACTTCCAAGGAGTGATAGGATGAGAGGACTTGCTTACCTGAGGCAAACACCAGGCACCAGACATTCTGGTAAAAATTTTAACAAATTGCTAAAATAAAATATGAGTGTGGGCTGATGTGACAGTATAGAACTCCTGGGAACTGCAGACATAAGGGAAATTCACACCCATTCACAGGCTTTTCTCCATAGACCTCACTAACTGCAAAAGAGAAAAACTGGGGACAGAGAAAGAAACCAGAGAAAGCCTCCCTTCTAGCACAAGCCTAGGAGAGGGGAGTGGAACCAGCTTCAGGAAAGGCACAGAGCCCCACCCAGATCCTCTCAATCTCCTCTATAGAACAAAAGTCTAAGGCATGGGGGAAAAGCAGCAAACACTGTTGCCATTAGGATACTTGTGAAGAGCCATTGAATCTACAGGATAGAAGAAAACAGGGAGGGGGACCTCTACCTTGAAGGAGGAACAGAAAAACATCCTAAATTCCGACCATTACAAATCTTCCTTACTCCTAGAGGGTAGGGAGTGGGGGAAGGAACACTAAAGAGTCCCAAACCCCTGAGACCCAGGGATACAACATCTAAGACTGGATCTGTACCAAAACAGACCAGAATAGTAAGAATGCTTCCCCAACCCCAAATCCCCTCTGCCAGGCTAGCAAGAGTCAAGTAACAAATAACAGCACTCAGCTGGGGGAGGGTGAAGGTAAGAGCATGGAGAGTCACCTTCTTAGGCATAGTCATAAAAGGAATACCTAAAGTTGAGGTTGAAACAGCTGTTAAGAACAACTTTCTGGCACACCAGCCCCTACCGTAAACATAAGGCAATGTTAAAGTTATGATGCCTGTGATGCATTGACAGCAATCATGGCAACAACAAAACCCAAGCAGCTCACACTACTTTGATTTAACTTCCTAAAGGTCTAGCAAAAGAAGAGGTGTCTTCATTTCCATACATGAATATTATTCATTTCAGTCCTCTACTGTCTTATATAAGCCAAAAATTATGAGATACACAAAGAAGTAAGAAAAAAAGAAACACAAGCACAGTCAAGAGACAAAATAATCAACAGGATCTGACTCAGATATGACACGGATGTTGGTATTATCAGACAGGGAATTTAAAATAATTATGATCAATATATTGGAGGTCCTGGTGGAAAAGGTAGACAAGGTTGATGAACAGATGGGGAATTTAAGCAGAGAAGTGGAAACTAAGAAAGGATCAAATGAAAATGCTAGAAATTAAGATGAATCTCTTTGATGGACTTATCAACAGACTCCACACAGCAGAGAAATCAGTGAACTTTAAAACAGGTCAATGGAAATTACCCAAATTAGTCAGGTTATGTTTCAGTAAACTTTAAATAATAACATAAGCATATTCAACTGCCTTTATATATTTTTTTCAATTTCCTGCAAAATTTTTATGAAAAGTATATAACAGTAAGAACAAGCCTGGTGCACAGAAGGTGTTCAATAATGTTTACTGATGGAATCACTGCTATTTGTCAATGAAAAAATTTAGCCATTAATGAGAAAAGATAAATAAAATGGGAAATCACTTACTATAATTTATGCTAAATTGAGCAACTCCAGAACCAGGATAGTAGGAACCCTTCTCCACAGTGACAAGGCAATGCTTATTTTGTTTTTCTTGAATAATTTCCTTTACTCCAGAAGCTCCTTGATTCATCAGCTTCCAGCCTCGTATACATCCATCTAGTCGAGGATTAATCTAACAAAGTATAGGTCAAGGAGTGCATTTTAAACTTAAACAAATCAGATTGACAGTTGGCTTAACTGATTATAGGTATAAGTTTTCAATTTAGAGGGAATGTCTTTTCTTTGAAGATTTTAAAAAACATTTTACACAATCTAAATTTTTTTTTTGGAGATTTCCTTCAGATGGACAGTCTTTTTCAGTAAAAGTGAGTTTATGCCATCACAGGTCTCCACTGGAATCCACCTGCCTCTCCTATGCTATCCAATGGTAACTTTTCTGCTCTCAAGTTCTATAAATGCTTCCATCTGTGGCCCTGGGTGCTAAACTGATTTTGGTTTTTCTTTCAGTGCATTTAGAGCATACCTTTTGCTTTGCCAATCACACTGTAAGCCTCTTCAGGAACTAAAAAAGTATCTGCGCTCTTTAGCCTCAACCAAAGCTTCCATCCAGACTCAAGACAAGTAGTAGCCATTTAATAAATAGTTGACTTTTTTTTTTTTGATTAATTGAATATACTTTTTAAGTGTTTTGATTTATCGATTTCAAAGAACAGGTACATTCACCTTGACATGGGTTGACTAATGCAGGTTTTATATCATATCACAAAAATTTTTTTAAAGTTAAAGCAACTGTGAATATCCATGACTGAAAGATGGATATATAATTGTAAATACTTAAGTTAAATCAGCAAGTGTATTCAGCGGGTCTGTGACTTCAAATGCAATTTTTAAAACAGTGATTCATCTCCTTCAGGAGACCTATTCCACGGTTATTAGACAAACATCAAATTCAGAAAATCATCCATTATATCTAACCTCAATTTATTACAAGCTTTGGTTATACCCTCAGTTAACATTAAAAAAAAAAAAATCTACTTTATGTGCAATCTTTAACCTCCCAAACCTAAGTCATCAAATAAACCTCTCAAATCCCTTGACTGGCTTCTACAAAATAATATACTTTTGGACTCAAATATGTGTATTTATATGTTTAATGGCTGAGTATGGACTACCGTGATGTTGCCACTGAAATGGCATCTGAGAAATCCACTTCTCCCTAAGAAACGCCAGGTAAAGATTTAAATAGGCTCAGTAACACTACATTCATTTTTCTACTTCCTTAATATAATTTCAAGGGTCAGTAATGTTATTTTTCCATGTTCAATTCAAGTTGTCACACTTGGCATGTTTAACAAAATAACTTCTATTAACTCTTAGAAAAACACATCTTCAAACCTATTACAGATAAGAGGATTTCCATCCATGATGAATGATATGGACTTGGATCATTACCGGTCTAATGAGTGCATTTTCCATTTTCCGAGGTAATCCTGCAAAGTATACTTTGGTTTCCAGAAATCCATTTGTAGGCTTAAAAAGGCTTCCAGGTTTATTTATATTCATCACGGCTTCTTTAGCTATTTTAACATTAACACTATGTTCTAATTCTTCCACAGAGATCTACAATTAAAAACATAAGAATTACCAAACAACAACCAAACACCATACATGCCACTTGAAACACTGAAATTAAAAAATCCTGTTATTATTCCAATAAACAGTTTTCCAAAAGAATCATTTTAATGTAATTTTTAATTTCTTCTAACCTATCTGAAATGTCAAATTATTATAAAAGAGATAAAAATGTGCTTTAAGGTGACAGTTCTTGATCAAAAATTAAATGCACACCACATTTTAAGGTTAAAAAAGTCAATATTATTCTGTTAAATTTAAATATTCAATTCTTGTGTGTATCTTTTAATCCCAGTATGCCAAAAAATTAACAATTAAAAAATAAGTGAGCCAGTTGACTAGTATCTTAGAAAACTTAAGTGTTCTTATTTTGCAATTGTCTGATAGTAAATATATGGAATCATACTTCAAATATTTTATTAATATAAGCAAGTTCTTAATATAAATTTTTAAAAAAAATCAGTACCTCCAATATTCTGTTCATTCCACACAGATTATATTTTATTTCAAAATCCAGAAGTGATTGAGGTCAAAAGAAGGCACAATACGTAAAATTGTTTTCCAATTTTGAATGTAGTTTCAGTTTTTAAAAAAAAAAAAAAGGTTGGAAGCGATGGTAAACAATAATAAAAAATCCTCCTATATAGGCAACTTGAAAAATTGTTGTTGCAACTGCTTTATAAAAAAACATAGCACTCAAAATGTGAACTTTTTCTGAACCTCCTTTTTACTAATCAATAATGGAGAAGCCCTGGTGGCCCAGTGGTTAAAAGCTCGGCTGCTAACCAAAAGGTCAGCAGTTCAAATCCACTAGCCACTCCTTGGAAACCCTATGGGGCAGTTCTATTCTGTCCTATATGGTCACTGTGAGTCGGAATCAACTCGACAGCAACGGGGTTTTAGTCAATCATGGCAGCCAAGCAATAGAACATTAAAGCACCACTACAGGAAGGAAAAAATATCTTTGAAATAAAATAAATTTAGTAATATATACAGATTTAAATCAGTCAACACTCTGTTCTTAGTATAGTCAATCAGTAGCATTTGACTCTATTGAGTATTCCCTCCTTGAAGTACATTCTTAACTTAGCCTCCAGGCCCTCGCTCTGTCTTGCTTCTCCTTCTAGACTCTTACCACTCCTTCTTATTCTCCTTTGCTGGGTCCTCTTCCTTTTAATCTCTAGTATGAAGCCCCAGAACTCAGTCCCCAGATCACTTCCCTCTAGCCTTGCAAGTATTTCTAAAGTGGGGCACACTATGGCCCCCCCTCAAGGGCATTGGGAAAATTGGAGGAGCAGCCATTTTCAGCTGTCACGATGAGTAGGAGTCATGTTGACACTGAAAGATGCTAGACACCCTGAAATATGCAGGATAGTAGGGCACAACAAAGAAGGTTTTATAACATATACTGGGGGACATGAGGCAGTAAAACTCTGTGTTCTTCAGCACATTTAGGGAAAAAGCTGCATGCAGCAAATATTCTAGATAGAGCTCTCAATCTGGAAAGCAAAGCTACTCTAATGAAAGCATCAAGAGAAGCCAGAGACTTTCAGTGATTTCTGTGAAGAGTTTCACATGATCCTGTGAAGATATTTTTCTTTCAGAGTAAAGACCCTAGAATCTATGGTTGCCAAAGAACAGACAGCCCCCTTTTTGGTGAACTGCATCTGTGCCCAACTGCACTTTGCTTATACTTCTACCTTAACATATTTCGTGTGACAGTGCATTAGTTCATTAGGCTGCATCAGGTATAAATTGTGAGGCACTTAACTCAAGAGCAATGAAAACTTCTTGCTATAGGAAGTGTCTTGAACTCAGGAACTTAGCATTTTAAAAGCACTCACTATCAGCTTATTGAATAGATGAATGCATGAGTAGGTAAATGAAGGAATGAAATAAATTAGTGATTACTTCACATAGCTTCTCAAAAATACTTCTCAACAGCTAGACCTAGAAAATGTCTCTTTTAAGCACC